AAGAGTTATCTGAATTAAAACCAGGTGATAAAGTCTTTATTAAACTTGACAATGATAAAAAATGGCTAATTCCAGGAATAATTGTAGATAAAGCTACAGAACCCAGATCTTACATTGTAAAAACAAAGCGTGGAATTTATCGTCGTAATAGGCGTCACCTTCGTCTTATTGGAGATCACCGCGTTGACTTTAATATACCCATGGATGATGACGACGATGATTATCTAGATATGGATATGCCAGTTGAGAACATAATGCGTCCAAATCTGCCAGTTGATAACAACCATATACCCGAACTACTACAACCACTTAGAACTCGATATGGTCGTATTATACGGAAACCGTCCAGATACAGATAAACTGTACACGTATTAAACAGTTAAATTGGGCTTAAAAGTATTGAGCTGTATTTTCATTTTATTTAAGAAACATACTATGACAGTATGCATGGACTTACTTTTATTTTAAAAAGAGGGAGATGTTCTGATGTGTAATAATATCAATCGTTATATATTCATATTTGCCGCGTTTGTTAATGCGCATGTTTAATTAGTAATAAAAGAAATTAAATGGCCGCCATTGTTTAGTCATACCACGACAGTGACATACCTGGAATTGCCATCCCATTACTTTCTTACACGAGGAAACCAAATTCAGATCAAGCTATATAACCTCTCTCTCATGAAAATCATATTTTGTTTACATCCCGCTGTTGAACATCAGCCATGTTTGACCTAGTTATCCGGAAGAGTCGAAGAGGGAGGGGTGTTGGTTTGGCTCGAGTCGTTTCGGTCTGCTTGGATGTCAAGGAAGTTGTTCGTCCAACTGAGTTGAATATTTAATTGGCACCGAGGGCTGTAGCGTTTTGATATTCATATAAACTGCGTACAAATTTTATCCAGAACTGCATGTGATGGAAATTTTGAAGGGGGCTATAGGCGTACACAATAACTTGGTCCATAATATGCAAAAGTAATCGCGGATTGCATAGTTAATATAAGTTATTCCCTTGCTTACGACTTTGCCTTTAGACAATTTAAAGTTCAATTTAGGCTGGAGCAATGATTAGACTAAATGTATATGTAACCTAATTTCTCGTGAAGCCTACAAAAGTAAAACGATTTTTATATAATAATTATGTCTGGCGTATTATCGCCCGGTTCAATCTGATTAAAATACAGATCTATATTTCGTTGCGTTTTTTTATACTTTCGATGGCCTACACTACATGAATATCTGACAAGTTATAGCGATAGGCCACATCAGGGATGAAAAGACCGACTTATGACCCTATGACGTCAGACATTTGATTAACCAATCAGCATTGATGTTACTAGTGGATTACCCACAGTTCCGTGAAAAACACGCCTAAAGCTCACCGTAACAGACCGTTTCATTGGCTTATCCCTGACACCATTCAGAACACGAGTTAAATAACAACTCTTCCAGATCCAAGTGTAGTAAAGACAAGTAAAACGAAATTTTGAACTATAAAAACGAAACGAAATAGGATCTGTGTTTTATTATTAACCAGATTGCACCCGGTTGATGCTGGCGTGCTATTAAACATCAATTACATCATTTCATTTCATATCTTCATCAAGGTTATGCAATGCAGAACACATATTCCTGAAGCTGTTGTCTCGAGAAATCCCTTTCTGGGCATTGCTGGATTGACTTCTGATACTTGAGCTTTTGCGGGAGTGTGTCTATTCTTCCCGTTCAATCAAATCTATCCCAAGTACAGCAACATCACAGCGCTTCGTTTAATCTGGGGTCTTCCCTGAAACTTTGGACAGTGATTCAAGGTATTAAAAACGGTGAAAGTATTATTCCTCCCCAAACAGTATTGTTTATATTGTATCCGTTTTGACAGCTTCGTTTGTCATGCATTAAGTTTTTCTAAATTTCTTGAGTCATGACGTAACGTTATGTAAAGATATTTGGTCTAAATTGGAGTTCTGTTTAAAGCCGGGGGGTGGATGGCTGAATGGTTAGTGTGTGCGCGCTGAATCATAAAGTCTGTCATTGAGTCGACTGGCGTGGTTTCAAATCCCCGGTTGTACGTGGCAAGGAGTAGGGTCGCCTGTCCAACCTCGTGGGTTTTCTCTGAGTCCTCCGGTTTCCTCCCACTGCTAAAGACCCCTACTCGCAAGCGAATTATGTAAATAAAATTAAACCATATGTTAGTCCCGAAATGACCTAGTTTGTGTGGAGTGGACGTTAAACCCCATTTCTCTCTCTGTTTAATGCCTAATGAAATTGTTATGCAGTTAACTATTGGTTGTTAATTGGACTATTGACCAGTCATAATTTGGAACAGAAATTTGTTTCCATTACAGCAGTGTTAAGTGGGATTAGATCTATTCAAATGAAACACTGCGAGGAGTAAATAATTCTGTTTCTCGAAATAACTACATAATAGTTTGGTTCATTCCTTGACATCTCGCGTAATTTTCATCTTCAAATAATAAACTGTAGATAACAATAATCAATTATTCAAGGGGTTATATTTTCGAAGATTCGCTTTTTTGTCTTTTCTAGCTGAATATCTGAAATAAATCTGAACTGTTGTCAAATAACAATACTATGAATATCTAAGATCCAGCAGTGAACTGTGAGGAATATTAAAATAACGGTATTTATGTTGCAAAAAGGGGGTTTAGAAAGAGCTCAGAAAATTATGGAAAACTTTGACTGCGATGCAGTCATGACAGGTTTCACCGGTCCTCGCAATCCTTTAACGGATGTCACTTAACATATTCCCATGAGCATGTTACACGTGTTAACTATTTAGGCGAAATTGCCATTTATGATAGCATGTTAACGTGTGGAACCCTTACAAAATGACCAATGCTTGGTCGTATATCTACACAATCTACACAATATTACTTAAACGAAATTAGTAAACATTATTATTAAATGGCACTGAATAACACTCTTTAGAAAAAAACATGTTTGCTTTAAAGATACATTATGGGAGATTCGGTAACGAGTTGGCAGTCCTCACTATAATAGTTAAAAACTAGATAATGTAAAGGCAATTTGGTGAAAATTTCATTCAAATTGATCCACTATGAACCGAGAACTAAGCGACTGAAATTCCCATAAGCCTCGGTCATCATTACTTAAGTCAGTACCGTAAACAGCATAGTCTCGATTATCCATTTAATCGTTTAATAGAGAAGGAAAGTTATGCAGTAAATCGGCTTACAATCCACTAAAGATCGCAGGCTAGCGCTGCCATCTAGAGTTGATTATGGCCTGGATAGGTTAATTTATGTCTAATTAATAATTTAGATAACATTTCAGGCCTAAAGAAAGACCTGAAATAGGCAGATTTAGCTCTTGCATAATGCATGTTTAAGAGTTGAAAATGTGTTGTTTTTTTTCCTTCAAAATCACTATAGATGTGTTTGGGTAAACAATGTAAAAAGGTACTTTGGACAATTGCATAAAGTTACAAACTATCTTTTGATATATTCATATGTTCGCAGTGGTTTGTGGTTTTCCATATGTGGAATTAAAGTTTTAAAATTTAATTATGAACAAACAGGTATATTTGAAATTAAAGTTTGTTTAATAAAAGTACCAATTTTGCAAAAATGATGCCATTTCTAAAGACAAGAATGTTACAATAATGAACAGTTGCAGTATCAAATCGAGCAAATGTCATTAAAATAGAACAATATTTTATTCTTTTGAAAAGTGACTCCCACAAAACTGCCTATTTCTCAGAAATAGCAAAAATTCCAAATGATTCATGGATATTTGGTTGATGTTATATACCAACCCTACCTGTAGATACATGTTTAGAATACAAATATTATAAAATAAAAAAGTTAAATAACATTTGCGGGAAAACGGAGTACGAAAATCGATTCCCGCCTTGCTCTGCATATTTACGAGGACTATCCAGATATATATCAGCTACATGTAATTTGCGATAAGATAATAATTTGTATTAATTATTATTATAGATAGTGCCAACATGTATACCATGCCGTTGATTCTGTGTCAATCGGATAATTATTATTTAGTTTATAGGCTAAAAACTGCAAGGCCAAAGGGAAATAATCTGGACAAATATATTTTGAATATTTATATACAGCTGATCAGAACCTTGGAAAACTAATAAAGTGTTTATGAAAATGTCATATCTCTAGACCTTACTCCCCAAAACCGAGTGGCTTAATGCGCAGTTTCTGCAAAATAAGCAGGTTAAAACAGAACATAATATAAATCCGACCAAAAAACCTGATCCACAGTCTGAAACCTAAGTATACTGCCGCAAAAGAAACGAGCGAATTTTCCTTCACTATATATTTCTAACCGAATGTACCCGATTAGGAGATACCTGTCTACCCTATACGCGAAATGCAAGTCTCGTATTGTTGATGTTTTGAGAAAGAAACTATGTCGAAATATGTGAAATTTCCAAGAGGAGAGTGGATCTTATCGAACTTTTAGGCGTTAGGGCTCGACGAAGCGAGCAACGGAATGACAATTTCAGGTATGTCACCAATTTTTGGCCGTTTAAATTAAAAACTGAAGAAATGGCAAGGAATTTGAGAGTCAGAGTAAATCTTGGAACAGACACTGCAGTAAATTGTTATTTTGTGTTTCCAAAGTCAACATTTTGTAGTTATTGGTTGTTATTTTGGAGTTATTGGGTGTTACTGGGTCGTTATTGGGTGTTATTGGGCAGTTATTGGGTGTTATTGGGCAGTTATTGGGTAATTCGACGCGCCCGTTATTGGGTGTTATTGGACTGTTATTGGGTAATTCGACGCGCCCTTTAATTGTCTCTACTTCCAGCTTGTGTATCTCAAGTTTTTCAAGATGAACCTCAGACATGCTTTTGGTCAAGAGGTTGCCATATGTTGCTCCATCTGTTGTAAAAAATGTTCTACCCAACGAAAAGTTGGGGTCGGTCTAAGAGACGAGAATTAACATTAAAATGGGGTAATCATTAGTGATCTGTAGCCAAATGGTTATTATGACGGGAGATAACTCTGATGCTTTCGATGACGTCACGGTTTAGGGAAGTTAGCTAAAAACTGAAAATGGCGGAGGCAGCAGTGGAAATACCGACTAATTTTGATCGGTTCTATTGTCATTCATGTACAAAAGAAATTACCCCCGACCTACCTGTAAGTTTATAATATATCTTAGTATACGACATGGATATTTGTCATACACATCCCTTTATAATGAAAAGCTGAAAAATGGAGTAATTTTCAAGTAGAGTGGCCCACAGACTCATTTATCTGTACTATATAAACTGACCTGTTTTAACAGCATGTTGTCACGCTGATCAAAACTTCGTTTATGAGAAAAGTGCTCTCACGGGCTCGCTCGTGCACTGTAAGCAGCAAACAGTCGCCCAAAATAGGCATTCACGTGACAATATTCGTTCACTTATTTATCAATGAAGCCATGTAAAAAATTATTCTTTACTCGTTGGACTTTTAAAAATAAATAGTTACAAACTAAATCAAAATTTTTAGCTAAAACTCCACGATTTAATTTCTAAGTTAGTTGATTGTAACCAATGACATATATATTGTAAAGGTTCTCGGTTCAGAGTCAACTCGTGTAGTTTCGCCCTTTTTCTATCTTTTAATTCCACGACACTGCAAGACTGTGAAAGTTACTTTTATTTAACCGTAAAACTCTGTTGTTAGTGGGCGCTTTAGTTACTTTAGAAGTTACATTGTTGCTAGCTCTAAATACGCAGAAAAAATTTGAGACTGGAAATTAATTGAACGAAATTATTTTCTCTAGTCTCGATTAACCAGACGTGTATGATTAAAATAAAATTACGGTACTGGTCACAAGACTCGGATTCTAATCATTTTAGGGCACTGCAAATTTGGCCTCCGGTTTTGTGTCAAATTTAATAGGAGGATGTGCCATTATGGCTATGCCATTCATGTATAGTATCCTTATGTATTTGCCATTTCTAACATGGTGGTTACAAAACGTTTCAGTTATTATAAATCTAGCAACAACTCATTTTTCTAGAACTGAAATAACCAAAAAGACGCGCATTGACTGTTTCATAATTATTAAAAATATGAAAACGCAACACGATGCGTAAATTGTGCGTCTTACTTTCGAGAACAATAGCTATAAAACAGAAATTTCCGGATTGATACATAATACGACACAACCAACCATAAGTGGTAATTCAAACACAAAGGATATATTTAAACTTAAATTTCTCTAACATTTCACTAAAAGATCCCTATTGTAGAACTCCCATATTATTATGTAGTCGGTGTCATGCCGGTTGTTTTTAATAACAGAATTTTCCAGTCATATACCAGATCAAAGAATTTTTCGAGACGCATTGTCACGTATCGACTTCTATTTTTGGATTATCTGGCGCCACAGATAGCCCAATCATATCAAAAAGCATGCAGTTCCACCTTGAAATGGGTTCAATTGATTTACGGTTTATTCTTTAATTTATAACACAGTTTAGAGCACAATGTGTAGGAGTCGCATTTTTGACTTCTAAGTAGATTCTTATACGGAATTCCGGATGCAATGCTAGACATTTGGAACACTGCTGCCGAACCGATTTGAAAATGCTTAAGGCTTTATTTCTTTGCGCATGTCGTGTGCTCCTCTGTTTTTGATGTGTATGATTTTTATATTTGTGATAATTATTTGAAACAAAATAGGATTATCATAAAGAATATTTAACATCTACATTATGAGTACGGTAAGCACTCTCTACATACTGCGTTTGTAAACCACGAAATTCACCCCTTATTAGAAAGTTTTAACTATAGTCTATTGCATGTAAACGTTAAAAAAATCAGCTCAAAATACAGACATCTCTCTCTCTCTTTCTAACTAAGGGCTGCGCACGCGTACAAATGTTAAATTCAATCGTTAATTGTACGTACGAAAAAAACCGAAGAAAGCCGACTGCGGAAATTACGCATTCGTTTTCCAGAGCAAAATTTGAAACTTTGATGTGACCAAGAAACATAACTCTTTTTAATGAAAAAATCTACCGCTGTAACGCTACTTGGGCGATCAACTTTTCCATATAATTAGAAAGTCCCATTCAAATGGCCAAATCATACAAATATCCAACTTAGCAATAGTTTAATTGTAAATGAATGATGATTTTAATGGTAAGTCTTATCATATTTGTTAAAATAAGCCCCAAATATAGCTCGATTATTGGATTTTTGTTATTTGCACGAACCACTCTAATAATAATAAATAAACGGATTTCTTCGATTATGAACAAACTACTATAGCCTACTTTGGTTATTAAAAACTTACCTGTGTGTTTGAAATTACCTCCGGTTATATAAAATCCATTGTACAACTATATGTCCTAGCGAATAAAAAAGTTCTCTCTTGTAAAATTGAATTCATCACAAACTTTGACACCGAGAAATAACCAAAATGGAAGCTAAAAACGTTTATTTTATATCACCGTTACACCCTAAGGAAGACTGAGTTCGAATTTCGAGAAAATCTGCCCAAAACTGACAGACAAAATGGCCGCCCTTCGTTCTCAAATAGCTTAAAAATATGGTATATCAAGGCTGTGGACCCTATAGAGGTCACAATTTTAATCCGATTTTGTTGAAACTTGAAATGTAAGTTTATAACACAAAGATCTCGGTTCCTTTTGATATTTGCGCATATCGAATTGTAATTTCCTGAATTATGGCCCTTGATTGTAGGAAAAATCACTTTCTTTTTAGCTTGTTCTCTATCCATCTCTCAAAAATGTGGGCGTATCCTGCCTGGCAGCCGCTGGTTAATATTTCCTGATGAACTTAAGAAGTCCTGTCAATTAACCTCAGCAATCTGCTGTAGCCGAGGTAAATGCCGATGTATTTTACATTTGCCTAGACAACATTAATAGCCGAGGCCATTGAATCATTGAATAGGTATAGGCCTATAACGTTATTTTTTTTTTATATAAATACCAAAAATTATTACCAACAATTAATCATACCGCACACCAGATTAATTATCGGCAGATAGTTCAGTTTCTTTCTATTTCGCTCTGAATATTATTTCCGGTGTGCAAAAAACTGTTTAGAAAAATTTATAATCGTACGTGATCGGTAATACAATTATTTTGTAAATTCCCGGCTTTGTTTTGAAATTCACAAGGCAATGTATCCAATAAGCTTATACAATTATATATACAGGGGTGAAAAACAATATTATATTACGAGTATTCGTATAATTGGTGATATATTCATTGTGAATAAAATTTAGTAGACTGACAATCAATTGTTTCCAAATCAATGTCTTTGTCTCAGTTGCTATTGTGTTGCCCAAACTCAAAAACTCGAAACGGTCGTGCGCTGTTGTGATTACAACAGACGTGATTCAACCTTTACCACCCTTCAACATATTATGATGGTTTAGCTCATGACTTGACATGTGTAATGTTGTGATGGACACTGTCAAAAATACAAGCAAAAACATTGACTTTTCAAGAGAGAACTTTTGTTTTGGTTTGGATATTTAATTGTGCAATGGATTTTATTCAACCGGAGGTGATTTCAAACCCATAGGCAAGTTTTTAATAACAATTATTCAGTAGTTTGTTCACAATCGAAGAAATCCGTTTATAATTTACCATGGTTCACACAGTAAGTCTCTTAACTCAATATCATCCAAATTCTTCGACATTGAAAACACAAATTATTTATCAATTTAAATCAACATTGATGTTGTGATCTTACCGGGAAAAGATGGGCTTCTGATATCTAATATTTAAGATAAAATTAACATTTTATCATTGGTACACGAATCGTGTACCATAAAGCCTTTCAGTGCCATTTGTAACAATAGACTTGAAGAAGGAGGCTAGACATATTGCACATGGAGAGCATGTGCAATAAATACTATCGGTGTAGACTGGAAAAACCATACGCTAGAGATTGCCATTCGATTGAGACTTCTGGCGTATGTCGTCGAACATAACTGATTAGAAATTAGAGTAAAAACAGAAATGATTGAATGTAGGTATGTGGAGATCTGCCGGTTTAGCGTCCGCGATTATGACGTCATTCGCTGTGATCAGGATTTCCAGAACATTTCGTCAATACTTCTGCAAAATAGCTCCTGATTGGCCTAGAGTGGAAATCCCGGGAAAAACCCTCATTATTAGGCAGGTCGGACCCCTATATTGAGCCTCGGTTTCGTATTTTCCATTTTTAGCCAGTTTAGTTTTAGTGGCGAACGGCGCAAAAATTTTAATCAACTTTACCCCATCATTACTGGTTGAAAATCAGAATCAGACGAAAATAAACGTTAAGTGGACGTAAAGATATATGTGTCTCTATTTAGGTGAAGTTTCATGTTGATACAAACATTCGATCATGTGAAAACTTTATTCGGGATGTGGTATCCACATTTGAGAATATTCAAAATGGCGGCCTATTTAGTCATTGCGGCCGAAAAATTTCTGATAGGCATAATAAAGTTGATCAATTTTTGTCACACATTCCCAATCTAGACCTAAAATAACATGATATTATGAATAATGGATATGTATAAATACTATAATAAGTTGCTAACGGTCTATGACTTAGCTATGTGGCCGATTTTGCTTTGTTTTGATAACTGTATAATAATAATAATAATAATAATAATAACTTTATTTCAAAAGGGTTGAAAATTAGGCCAACGGCCTTTCTTACATTTTGCCCTTTAATCAATGGGAACATATGTACATTAATAGATAGAGAAGAGATAGAAATTTATACATTAAAAATGAAACAAAAAAGAAACAAAACAAGTTGAACATGTATACATGAATCACCCATTCCAAAAAAAGGGCGTGTCGCTGTTGCATTGTGGGAGATCGGTGAGCAAACATACTTGTAGGCCGCCATTACTTTGCATTGAATTTCTCTGACCAAATTTCGAAAAACGCCGATTTTACGTTAATTTTAGTGATGGGGGATATTTCATATGATGTGATAGAGACACTGATGGTTGATGCATGTAAAGAATACCTCAGAAAGCACATTCTGAAGTATACAGATCGCTAAAAGGTAAAATGGGTGATTCATGTATTTACAGTACTTCAGGGTGCCTTGAGGTTTCGTTCACACGTAACCACAAGGTTCTTTAAGCCTTCCTTTCTTGGAGC